GGAAAGTCAACTCAGGGAGCAGGTGCAAAAACGTTCAATAAATATACAATTGAACCCATGGTCTATATTTTATATTGTGTATATAATTATGTCTACAGTTCATATTTTATGTGGTAACATATAATACATAGTAGTCATCTATAATGTACAGGTTTCCCCCTGTACCCAAAAGTGAAACGCTCCTATGAAACCTTTCATAAAGCTGAAAGGGTGTAAAGCAAAGAAGCAATTACCGCTGCTTTATAGGGAAAAAGTTTTAAGCATTCCCAGACCTCCCAAAATAACCTCTTTCAGGCTTTTCTGATACCTTAGGACACTTCTTGCTCATTTAACTGAGGCACTATATAAATGGAGATAAAGCACAGAAGCTCATTGAGCGGCGGCTGCTTGATGCTAAGGGGCTGCTGTAGTTCCTGGGGAGGGCGCCTGGGGGCGCCACTCTGGCTGCGGCTCCTGGCAGGGCAGAGTAGCTGCCATATGTATAGCTGAATGCTATACATACCTGAACGCTGTTTTCGCTTCCTGCCTTTTTTCACAAAAGTGGAAACCCTCTTTGGATTTCTTTGGGTTGGTGAAAACAGGTACCAATGGAGGTCTTTCATAAACGTGAAGTGGCATAACATGAACTTTCACAAAGTGACTGATCCCTATACATTCATTTATACCGAATGGGCAAAACTGAATCACAGTTCCCAAAGCAGCTAAGAGACAATAGTAGAGACTGGCCTTGAGCGCCAAGGAAACGATGTTGATAATTTCACACCAGTATTTGAAATCTGAGGTGTTATTAAGCCTTCTTCCTATGGGCCCCACGCCTTGTCTCCAAAACACTAGGCCCAGGCTCACAGGATGTGCTATCGACATCTGAAGCGGAGCTTGCCCGGCGGGGATATCTTTTCAGGTTTTGGTTTTCTCATTCCACAGTTTAGGCCTGGCAGCAGCAACAGGTGTATAGAAAAGGAAACGAGATCCAAAAGGGCAAAGGCCACTTCCTCCTTCTGTCTTACACGCGGGCTCAACTGGCAGGGTGACCAGAAGTCCACTGGCATGTGCACATAAGCAGACCATCCCAGATGGCCTGAACTTGGCAGCACGTAGCTCTGGAGCAGGTGTTTGGCTCAGTGTTTCTGTTAAGGCCCAGCCTGGACTCCACTGTTAGCAGGAGTCGCAGGGACGTATTCCCAAAGCATCCTGGTTGGTATTCGAACATCTACTGTAAGCTGGGTCAACAGTGGCCAGCAGAGCCTTGCTCTATTTCACAGGCTAGAGAGCAAAATCAATACCTAGCAAGCCCCAGGCAAATGTGAATTATGAAATGTGACTTGGTAAAAGGACTGAAAACACAACAGGGAGCACATAATCTGAACTGGAAAAGCCTGGAAGGGCTTTTCTGAAAAGCTAACAATGAGCCTAAGCCCTGAAAGATAGAACTTTCTATGTGGACAAGATATGGAATACGGGGAAGGGAATTCCAGGCACGGGAAACAGATCTGGCAGGAAGTGGAGGAGGATGACTGTCTAAAGAAATAGAAAGAAGGCCACCACGCACATCATTGGAAGGAGGGGAAAATGATGGAAAGGCACATGACACGTCAGGAATTACGATTTATATAAATAAGCTGGGACACAAATCAGAGTGATATGATCTAATATCTATGTATCTATGTATCTATGTATCTATGTATCTATGTATCTATCTATCTATCTAGAGTGAATGAGGGAGGGGCAGAGAGGGGGAGAGAGCATCCCAAGCAGGCTCTACTCTCACCTTGGCTCATGATCTGAGCCAAAATCAAGAGTCAGATGCTTTGCTGACTGGGCCACCCAGGTGCCCCATGAGCCAATTTCTATATTTTAAAAGATCACTCTCACTGCTGTGAGGAGAAGGAACTAAAGGAAAGCAAATGCAAAGCAAAGAAGATATTCTGCTGGTTTAGAAGAGCGTGTTGTTAGAGGAGATGCAGAAAAGTTGAAGTATTTGAGAAGTCTTTCTGGAATCACTATCATGTGAGGGTGATGGAGAAAGAACTGTCAAGATCTACCTCCAGGTTTCTATTTGGACATAGAGGTGGCTTGATATGCCATCTCCTGGGCTGGGAAAACTGAAGGAAGAACAGGACTGGGGGCGGGGGGGGGGGGGGGGGAGGGTGGAAGATAAGGGGAAGATCGACAGTTCATTATGAGTGTTTAGTTGGCAATAGCCATGAAATTTCTGAGTGTAGATGTCAGGTAGGCTACCGGATATGAGTCAGAAGTTCAGAAAAGGGTTTAGACCAAAGACATACACTTGACAGTCACCAGCATATACAGGTGATGGGAGGCCATGGCTATAAAAGAACGTGAGGCTACAAGAAAAGAGGGTTCAGCTTTGAGACAAACACTCTTAACAACTGGTTGTTTAGAGGCAGAGGAACAAGCAAAGGGGACTCATTTGGAAAAGTCAGAGACAATGATGAGAGAAAGGGAAGGAAAACCAAAAGACAGGGCACCCAGAGGCCAAGGGGTGGGGTGGGGGAGGGGCCGGGGCAAAGACAAAGGTTTGTCCCCCCTCTTGAAGTCTGATCACAAGAGGATTAAAAAACATGCAGCGAGGTGGGCAGCACCTAGGTTTTTAGGAGTCTTAACAGGCACAGATCTGACAGAGTAGTGGAGGCCTTGGCCAACTGCAGTTGTGGGGAATGGTAAATCAGGAAGCGAGAAGAGTGCTCACAATGGAGTAAGCAACCTGTTGGAAAAGTATGGCTGTGATGAAGAGAAACCGGATAAGGCAATAGCTGGAAGCTCGTTTCTTTTTGAACAATAATAAAATTTAAAAATAAGGCTGGCCTGCCGACGGTAAAAGTTCCAGGAAAGAGGGGAAGGCTAGGGGATGGGGTAACAAGAACTGACCTGTAAGGCACTTATCTTTGAGGGGAAGAGGGACCCCGCCTTAGTTGTGAAGGGATGGGATACATTTGGTTTCTCAGGGAGGTAGGTGGTGAGGTCATCTCAGCAGGAGGGAAATGGACCAGAGGTTTGAATCGAGTAAAAGAATGAAAGAGCCATGTCATAAAATGGTTTAAGTTTATTTGAAAAACATAGTAATGCCGCCAAGCGGTGCTGAGTCTCTATTTGACTTCGGTTGTCAAAAATATGTATAACATCATCTCGCCCGGTCTGTTTCCACTTCCCTCATCCTTCTCTGGATCCCAAAGCCAGCTTCTGCCATTTTTCACACCATGTGATGACAGACAATAATCCAACTTTCTAAGACAAATGAATCCCCCAACAGCTGCATGAGCCAGTCCCTCACTTGAAGCCCCTATTGTGCCCTGTCCTATGGAGAGCCTCTGTCAGGCTTACCAAAACAGTAATAAGAAGGATGGAGGTGGCCTCTTTTCTTGTCTCTGCCCATGTTCTTGGAGTTCTGCCGTGCCCTTAGAGCCACAGAATATGACACAACTTTCCCTGGGAAGTGGGATTAAGCATTAACACGACTTGCTTCACTTTTCTGTCTCATTCTAATGATGGAGACAAATAGAATTTGCGGGCCATGCCATGTGTGGGCTACACACAGATAAATAACTACATGGATGGGGAAGGCAGAGAGGCTCAGAGACAACATGATACCCAATCCCACGAGTTTTCCAGTATGACATAAAGAGCCAAATGCTCATAAGCACCCCAAACAAACACACCTACTGCCTCCCACTGTTTCTTGCCGTTATCAGTGCAGAATCTTTGACAAGCATCATCCTCCTTAAGTGTAGATCTAGACAATCAATCCCGTGACTTGGTTTTGAGCTTTTAAAGAAACAGGTACCAACTACCCAAACGGATTCTTTTCCGTTTCAAAGCCTGGAGTGAGAAGAAACGTACATAAAACTTAATGTGAAAAAGCTGCGTCGTTAATCTTGACAAGCAGGCAACCAAGAAATTGATGTGCAGCTTTTAGCCTGACATCAATTTCTGACAATATCACTTTGAGCTCATTCTCTGGCACCAAGATCAAATGCCCTTATTTATAGGTCTCAAACAAAGAAGAGCCTAAAAAGGAAGCTGCATTCAGCAGAAATCTTTCCACACACTGCCCACTAGAACTTACTCAAATGGAATTTTTTGGTCATTTTCTCAGCTTAGTAGAGAAGATGGTGAGCAAGGAGTAAAGGGAAAATGTGTTCTAGTTCGTTTGCTTTCTCTTTCCTAAGCTGGAATTTCATTTTTTAATCTTGGGCTTAGTTGAGCGGTAACTAACTCAGAATGTGGTAGGAGAGTAAGTAAACTATTTCCCAGAAAAAAATAAACAAATAAACAGGCAAACAAAAAACCCAACAGCTAGCCTGAATTCTGAAACCTGCCAAGTAATTTTTCACACGCTCCCTGGCAGATATCTGCGAACGTTCAGGTGGTGGCCTGAAATGTATGAGTGAGACCATTTCCAAGGTAAGAGTCAAGTGTTTCACGGGCATTTTCCCCTTGGCAGGGCATGAGGAACCCCTGAAAATGCCAATGCATTTTTCAGAGAGCAGTGCGCTTGCATCAAAGACAACGGCAAGGCAGACAGGTGAGGTGAAGGGTTCCCATTCAAATGCTTAACAAACAGAAAAATGGAAAGAAAAAAGACAGCCCTATTCGAATATGCTTCAGTCGTCCCTTAGAGGATACCAGTGGCTCAGAAGTTTAGTATACTGAAACCGTTTTTTAAAACACACAGCATAATCAGAAAAGCAGCAAGGCTGTTGGAAAAAAGCAATTAATTCACTCATCTCAAGTAGGAGAGGCTGCCATGAATTGATAGTCCAAAGTTTTACGGGTTCTACTCCCTTAGCATCTGCTGCTCGGTCCCTGACGGTTCTTTGTGATCACCTGACCTCATCTGAAGACTATCCTCTAGTACCACTGTCTTCAGGAGTATGACACACAAATCCCAAACCACAGGAATTCAGACGACACTAAAATTCAGCCAAATGGAACCACCATATTGCTCATAAAGCTTGCATTTAAATACACTTTTCTTTTACCTTGGTCTTTTCACCAACAATGTTCTTTTCCAGTTCCGCTATTTTCCGGTTTAGATGATCCAAAATCTCCTTCTCTTTCATAAGTTCAGTTGTCTCAGATTTCTGTTCTCCATCCAAAAGGGCACATTCCATATCCAACTGCGGACACAAAACAAAGCTCAGAGGTATTGTACTTTCAGAGATTCTCAACCGCCCACTTTCGACATGCATTTTTAACGGCTACAAATTTCAAAAAGTACTATGGTATCAGCCAGACTTGGGGGCCTTGGAGAACGGTTCTGAGAGTCCAGGTGAGATTCAGAATTCCTATATAAGGAAGCTGGTGAGCCCACACTATATTTACTAAGAAATCTACCCACCATTTAATTTTTCTACTATAACCCTTCTTCTGCTTACTTCTCAATAATATTTTGCCGACTTGCTCAGATTCAGGCTCAAGCACGAACCATCTTGGGACCAGCCGTGTCTTTCTTTGTTTGTCCACAGAGCCTGGGAGGTGAAAATTACACCCAGCCAGCATGCAAGCAATGCATTCTTAGCAATGCCAGCAGGAGGGACATTCAAGGGCTGTGTATAAGATGACGGGTGAGCAGTCCCCTTCTACTTATAGCTATCTGCATCATCTGTGAGTATAAACATACTAGGCAGAATCACTTGTTCCTTCTCGCTCCATGGAGATACAGTAATGGACCATGCGTCTGTTTCCTCTCTGGTCTGCAAACCCTAGAAGTGAGGTCAGTGTCTGAGTCATATACAAATCCCCCTGTAGTACCAACATGATGTCCAACTCATAGTAAGCATACTCAGAAAATGTTTGTTGGATCTAACCTTGGAGACCTAAATATATGGGACCTCAGCTGAGATCTGTATGTAGCAAGTCAGAAAGCATACACTAGTTAAGACAAAATTCGTTATACCCAAAGTACATTAAAAATGGCTTCAGATGTTTATCTTGTCTGACTTTAAAAAAAGACAAAGAAAAAGAAATAGTTAAAAAAAGGTATTTGTACCCTATAGATGACTCCCTGAAAAAAAGAATGTTAACTCATGTTGATTTCTGTGTATTCTGCTTCCAAAGTCTATGCCCTAATAGGCGGTAATATTTTTAAGCTGAAGGAAAGAGAGGGAAAAAGACAGGGGTAAAAAGTCAACTCCTGGTTTATACCTCTCTGGAAGATTCATCCATCTGGTCATTTATATCTTTGATTTTTTGTTCAAGCTCCTCGAGGTTATTGAGAATTGCTATCCGGGTCTCTTCCATTGCTGCCAACTCCTGAATCCTTTGTTCTTCGTTTATACCCTCTGGGGTCTGCAATTAATCAACACAGAAAAAGGCTATTCATACTTCCACTCCAGAATTTCCCAATTCATCAACCAGTAATAAGTCTAGTGTTTCACAGTCTCTGTGCCTCTTGGGATTCTAAAAGCATCCTTGTGATTGTTCCATTGGAATTGTGCATTTTCTCACACAGTAAGGTTCTTAAGTTACCTCAGACAGATCCACTTAAATTTACCAGTTCTTATCCTTTTAAAGCTGAAATAACTAAGAGATTTTACAGCTGAGGAGGTTGTAGTCCATAGGAATTATACTGACTTCTCTAAGGTTCTAGAGAAAGTTTGGCACGGCAAAGAACTAGAGCTAGACAAGACTTTTGACATCTTCCTCAGGGATCTCTTGAACAGGCTGCTGCCTTCACGCCAAGTCCCATATTCTCTCCCATCTCCAAGTGAGCACATCTCCCACAACAGCCTCTTCGATCTCTAGCCTTACTCCTGGGTGCCACTACTAGGATTATCTGCAGATGAATATTCATGCTGATTTGTTTCCTTTCCAACACACAGTGGAACAGTGAGGACACAATGCACTTGGCCCATTTCACCGAAATGTTCCATAAAATTAAAAACCATGACAATAGAAGACCTTGTTACTTTGGTGATACCCCAGATGACTAAAAACTACACACTTAATATGAAGTCAATTCATGTTTCGCTTGTGTTCGCACATTACTTATTGTCTTTCTTCTACACTACCTTCTTCACGTATATAATGTTTAAGACGCTAACTGGGCCAATGGGCTTTTGTGACACAGGATAGGACAACTGGTTATCATTTATAAAATCACTTCACAGAACAACTTGTGTTCCTTGGGAAGGAAAGTGAAAGTCAGGAAAGAAATTAAGTAAGAGAGGGCATACTTACACCCCTTAAGTGTACAGAGTTATGACAAATGCCCAGGGAAGAAAGGAATATTTTAGTTCATACACATTTAGCCAAAATGGGACTGCCTATTGTTTTAAGAAGAGAGTAGAGTGAATTGCAAATAGCCTCTTCTTTCAGGAATTTCAGATTAGTCACCTTAGAATCACCTGATAGAGATCAGTCTCTCTGTTGGTCAAGGTATGCTGGAGGATTGGCACATTATTTACTTAATTTTTATCTCTCTTTGAAAAAGAAATAGTTTATTTGCATTAGTAAATCAATCATTAAACACCTTTACAACTGCACACTGAAAAGAGCAGCCTAGATAAGCAAATTATTCAAGATTACTTACGAATTGGTGCAAAGAATATTCATATTAACCAAAGAGATCATTTGGTATGCTGTGCTAAATTCATTTATTTAATAATTTTGAAAATAACTTTAAGAAGATAGCCATCATGTCATTTCTTTATTCATATTCTTTGTTCTTTACCCCACTTCACTGTGCCTTATAGGGATTAAACAATTGAAATGCCACAGTATCTTGGGTTGATTAGCAGAGGTATGCAGACTTTCCATGCTTTGACACTTAGCCCTTTAATTGCCATCTTAAATGCAGCATCTTACCAATTAATAAAAACAACTGCTGACCTTTTCATCACGGACAATGAATCTCATTGTCCTAATGCTCAGGTGCCTGCTTTAGGGTGTGAGGGACACCTGTGACAGCGAATGGCATTCCTAAATCACTGACGTGTAATCCTAGCAGGAAAGACTCAAGAAGGCCAGTATCCTGTTGGGTCAACATCTCAGATTAGGTTTCAACCACCAACAGGATTTAAAAATAACTCTCTCACTTGGAGGAAGTAAAGCATTAGGAGAAAACAAAAACTAAACAGTTGGCAAAACTACAAACTTTCTAAGCAAGCAGAAGGTGAAGAAAGATAATAGTGGCAATTACAAATGTCTAAGTCAAAGTTTCTAAAAAATTTATCACCACTGGCATACTTGATAACAGACAACATGAGAGGCTGTTTATAGCAATAAATGCTCTCTAGGAAATGGTGGCTCTTTTTTGTTACTTATAAAAAAGCAAAATCTTCAAAAGGTGTCCTAAAACTCTGAAAGATTTGTGATAGAATGGGATGAGAATATTGTTTGCACATGTATGAACATCTCCAAAGATGCCATCTTTGAGGTAACCTGATCTCCACAGAGAAAGGAGAGGGAGATTAGGAATAAGACACTTTGCATCTGCTTCCCCCCCACCCCCATCTCTTCTTAGAAACTACTTGCAACGAGAAGAAGTTGCAAGAGTGAGGGCTGTCCACTGTCGACAGAATGATTACAAAAAAGAGAAGAATGAAAAAGTTCTCAAGGAAAAGAACAATTTTTTTTCAAAGAACTAAATGCGGTGATGGATGTTAGCTGAACTTGTGGTAATCATTTCACAGTATGTGTAAGTCAGGTCACGATGCTGTATAGAGATGTTCACAGTGCCGTGTGTCAAGACCATCTCGACAGGAAAAAGGGGGAAGAAAGAGACGGCTACCCTTGGCTTTCAACTCAGGGGAGGAAGACAGGGTCACAAAAGCCAGTTCAAATTAGCATATGTCTAAGGTCATCTGCATCTTCAAGTGTTAGGTAAAACAAGTTCCCGAATGGTAAATCCCAGGTTTCCGAAATATCATGAAAATCTTCATTTCCTTCCATCAGCTTAGACTGTTTTCCACATTCTTCTCTTCTCCACTCATCCTTAGACGGATTAATAACAAACACTGTCCTTTGCTAAGTACGGAATTTGGTGATCAGATGACTAAGAAGAAAAGCGTCCAAAACAAATGGTCAGGACTTTGAAGAAAGCATTCTTCTGTCTGTTGTCTTGAAGTAACATATATCTGTCTCCAAAAAGTAATAAACGCAAACCTCCTTCCTTGGAACTCATTCATCCCCCTCACTTGCTGTCTGTCTAAGCTGCTGCCTGTAACCAGAGGTGCCTTTGATATTTCCTGCCTCTGAAGGATGCACAGTCTTCTATGTCTTGCTACAGTGGAGGCTGCCGTAAGCCTCAGAGGCCTCCCTTTCCACAAAAGCATATTTGAGCAATTAAAAACATCTGCCATGACCCGCCCGTTTACACACGAGCCACTTTCTTGTCACAGCCCTCTTCAAGAGGAAACCGGTCTCCCTAAAGATTGTCCTTAGAGAGAGACACACACAGCTTACTGTTTTAACAGAAATCTGGCAGCTGTCCATGATGGAAGAAATGGAAAAGGATTTTCAATGAAAAGGAAGCCACGGACTTCAAAGGAAGCCCAATGGCTGATGAAAACAGCTCAAGTCTTCAAACGGTGGGTCATTTACTTTGCTTGAACACGAATGACGGACGTTTGATTTGCGCCCCCGCCCCGATCCTAGTTTCTAACAGTTGCAACTTTCTGGCAAAAGAGACAGATGTCCTATTCAGAACTGCTCTCCACTGGGAATGAGGAAGGTCAATGTGGTCATTAGGGGAAAGAAGGATTGTACACTTCTGAGTTCTGATGCAGATGAAGGAGGAACTCAGAAGGGAGATATGGACTGCTAACTAGGAACACTGAAAAAGTCTTGTTGTGGCCAAACAAAGACAAAGCAAACACACTAACTCCCCCTGAATTATACTCCATGTGATAAACTACCTCCAGAATTTAGGGTCATGATGAGGTCTTTCTCTCAATCGGTTGCGGCCTTCTTTTATAACAAAAACTCAACTGATGAATCTTTTTTGTTTTTGACTCTTTGGCCATAATTGCCAAGAACCTCAGAACTGAACCTAATGATCAGAGTTTCTTAATAACCTAAGCCTGTCTATTTAACTAAGTAGATCCTTGTGATTATGGTTTCTGTTTTTCCTCCTTATTACTACTTTTCATGTGTTTGTTTAATTCCAATAAAATTTAGATCTTATTGCAGCTCTCTTATGTCCTTTCTAGAAAAGACGTAGGAGAATTTTAATTTCATAGAAAAAAGATTCCTAACTTATGTGAAAAAAGTAAACCAAAAGATTTTCCTTTGATTCCATTTAAGAATTCCTCAAATTCTAAACACATTTTAAAATCAATATACAGCCAGAAGGCTAACTAATAATTATGACTACCTATGAATCTTAAACTCTTCTACATCTAAAAAATAACAGCAGTAAAGTCACGGGGAAGACCACTCATGATAAAAGACTGATTTTCTTATAACTCATGCTACTTAGTAAAAACAAGACAATTTTTAAAAATGGGCGAAGAACATGAAAAATGGGTCAAAATACAAATTAATGAATATATGAAAAGATGCCCAACCTCATGCATAATTAAAGACAAGCAAATTAGACAGCAACTAACCAGGCAAATTGAACAACTTTGACAGTGTACAGCCTTGGCAAGTGTATGAAGAACAAGGTACGCTCATAAACTGTTAGTGAAGGTGTCACCTGGAAATATACAGTCTTGTAAGAGTACAGTTTGGAATAACTGATTAAAATGAATAATATACAAACTCTCTGACCCATCAATTCTAATTTTAGTATGTGATCTTGCAGATATATTTGCACAGTGGTATATATATATGTGTGTGTGTGTGTTTATATATATATATTTGCTACATATAGAATTTATTAATAAAAAAAGTAGAAATAATTTAAATAGTATTTCTAGGGGCACTTGGGTGGCTCAGTCAGTTAAGTGTCTGATTCTTGGTTTTGGCTCTGGTCCTGATCTCCCAGTTTCGTGGGTTAGAGCCCTGCGTCGGGCTCCAAGATCACAGCACGGAGCCTGCTTGGGATTCTCTTTCTCCCTCTCTCTCTGCCCTTCCCCCATTCGCGCTCTCTGTTTCTCTCAGATAAACTTAAAAAAGTAATAAAATAAATAGTATTTCCAAACAAGAGAATACTAGTCAGCTGTCAAAAAGAACGAGGCAGAGCTGCGTGTACTGAAATGCGAATATGTGCAAGACATTTAGTGAGGAAAAGAGCAGAATGTTGTGTGTGTGTACCTGCATGTCTGCGCCTATAGCATGCGGTCTTGGATACGCAGAGAAATATTAAGAAGGCAGGTAACACACTCTATGTTTATCTCTCACACTTTGTACACATGGGAGAGGGCAGAGAAAAGAGAAACTTCCTTTTTTCTGTACTGCTATGCTTTTCCCAGTGCAAATTTGTTATTTTACAGTGAACACCCTAATTTGCTGCACCTCGTGTAGCTAATCACCTCTTAAATGGAAGCTTCCCTGAAAACAGTGTGGAAAACAAGAGAAACCTCTAGTCTCTGGGCCAGTGCAGATGCAGAGCCCGGGGCCCTAAATCCCAGCCTTCTTGCTCTGCAGCCCTTACCTTCGGTAGGATACTGAGATAAGCGGACTCGCTGGAAGGTTTCAGGAAGGCAGCCGTGAGGTCCCTGAGCAGGTCGTCATTCCTGATGCTCCTGGGGGAAAGGAAGCTGGCGCTGCTCTGACCGCCGCCCCCGAAGACCGCCGCGACCGCGTCTTGGAGAGGGCCTTTCTGGTGGCACCTGTAGCGGGTGTCGGGGCTCACCACAGCTTCTTCAAACACAGACTCCTCGTCAGAGAGCTGCAGCTTCTCAAGCTCCTTGTTGATCTTCTGCACATCTGCCACGGTGGTGCCGGGGGACAAGCGGCTGTCGGGCTTTGTGTACTCAGCGCAGAGACTGAGGATGGTCTCCAGGCGCTGTCTCTCCTAGAACACAGCAGGGGGCAAGGCCGGTGAGCAGCTGAGAAGGCAGGCAATCACAAAGAGAAAGACTGAAGAGGCTGGGACCACACAGGTAAATCCATTTTTAAGTTTATTTATTTACTTTTTGAGAAAGAGAGCAAGAAAGATTGTGTGTACAAAGAGGAAGAGAGAGAGATAGGAGAGAGAGAGAGAGAGAGAGAGAATCCCAAGCAGGCTCCCCACTGTCAGCCTGAATCCCAACTCCAGGCTCGAACTTAGGAATGGTGAGATCATGACCTGTGCCAAAATCAAGAGTCGACCGCACAACCAAGCCACCCAGGTGCCCCTCAATCTCCTTTTTCAAAAATCTCCACCCTCCTTCCCTCTGTATCTCTCTGCCTTTAAGATATCTAGCTCTTTCGGGGGCGCCTGGGTGGCTTAGTCGGTTGAGCGTCCGACTTTCGCTTGGGTCATGATCTCGCGGTTCGTGGGTTCGAGCCCCGCGTCAGGCTCTGTGCTGACTGCCAGCTCAGAGCCTGGAGCTTGTTTCAGATTCTGTGTCTCCCTCTCTCTCTGACCCTCCTCTGCTCACGCTCTCTCTCTCTCTCTCTCTCTCTAAGAAAGAAATAAAACATTAAAAAAAAAAAATGAAAAACTTTTCATGTCAAGTCCAGATAGAAAGACATCAATATATTTCAGATTCTGAGACCATTACATCTTTGGTTCAGTTAAATGGAAAATAAAATGATAGTTCATTTGCTTAAAAAAAAGTCAATATAAGGGATGCCTGGGTGGCTCAATCCATTAAGCGTCTGACTCTTGATTTTGGCTCAGGTCACAATCTCATGGTTTGTGGGTTCAAGTCCTGCATTGGACTCCACATTGACAAGTCAGAGCCCGCTTGAGATTCTCTCTCTTTCTCTCTCTCTGTCCCTCCCCTGCATGTACTTGCTCTCTCTCTCTCTCAAAATAAATAAATAAACTTAAAATAATCAATATACAGGCTATTGGTATCTATAATGATACCATTACTGACCTCTCACCAAGTTCCCCATGCAAAACAAGTAGATATTTATGTTTTTGACTTTAAACAAATTCACTTTTATGTTTGTGAGCCATACGGTATAATTTATGAAATGCTTATCATAAGCCTGAACTGCACTGTTGGGGGAAGCTTAACATCATTGACTCCACAATAATTCCAAGGCCAACGTGAAAAGAAAAATAATAAAATAACAACATAAAGTCTGTTGTGGTTATATCTACCACATTGAAAAGAGACTTCAAAAGCCTTCCATAGAAAAACATTTTCCAAACTGGTTATCAGTAACAAAACGGAACATTTTTAAGTAGCACTGGGCTGCTGTTTTCAATTTCTAATTTCAGCTAATTTATAAAGACAAAATTCTGGCAGTCAGCTCTTTATGAGGTGAAGGACCACCTAACAGAAAATTTAAATCGGAACAGACCAACATAATTCCCTGGTTTCCATTAAAAGACACTAATTAAGGGACAAGATGGAAAAATTTAAGTTGTATCTGGCTTCTATCTGTCCTCTAAAAAGAACCCCTCACCCCCGCAAATACAATAGCTGGATCAAAAGGACTATGAAACTATAAGCCCCCACCTCCCTTTCACTGGCTGAACTTCTGGCATCCAGCTGCAGCTCCGTCCTCATGGTCTCATCCACGGAAGGTACTCATAGCCGCACAACCTCTTCCCACATGCTCCTGCACCCTGCCATCCAGGAGCCCCGGGGTTTATGTATCTCTGCAGCTGCCATGGGCTGCCAAGCCCTACCCACCTCAGCTTTATGGGGAGGAAGTCGTGGGGGGGGGGGGGACACAGCATTCATTGCCTTATTTTAAACTCCTTCAACAATCGAGAAACTTTTGCGCGGCAATATGCAAAAACAACGTTCAAGGGCATATGTCAAGAGAGGGACAGGAACAAGATGCTATGTTTTGCCCCTTCTCAACAGCATCTGCGTTAGAAGCTAATGCTCGTCTCCAAAGAAAAGTTCTTTCTGCCATTTAGGGGACTTAAGTTGAAGCATCTAAACTCAGTCTTCACTGATCCTTACAGATCACAGTGTGTATACATTAGCCTGGACATTACTTACATGTGCGATTATCTGCAAGTTGTCAATTCCCATGTACCGGGGCCTCAGCGACCGGTGTGGTCTTCAAAAGCATGAAGGGTATTTCTGCCTAGCCTGTCAGACATAGCAAAATTCCTCCCACATCTCCTTCCCAAAATAGCTGCTTTTGCTGCCAGTGCTATTGCTTAATTCCACAGGGAATAAATGATCCCAGCCTTAAAATGAATGCTATTTCAGACAGTGAAATGCAGTATTCAAAGGCTTGTGCACAGGAAGTGTGGTCTACTGGTATGTGCTTCTCTCTATTCTTATCACCCCGTTCACAGCCAATCTGTCCAGGCTTGACTCACACACACATATGCAGTCCTGCTGTCCGTGAGTCTAAAAGAAATCCACGCTGTGCTGAGACACACTGGCCCCGTAAAAGCTGCACCAAAGAAAAATAAACTGAGGTCGAGAAGTGCGTCAGAAGAAAGCCTGAGAGGCATTTCAGAAAGCACTATATGAAGCCTTTTAAGGAAAACCTTGTACAGAATGTACTCTCATGAAGAAATTCTCCCCCTGAGCCCTCTTCACTCTGGAGTCTTATTCCTTCCCATCTATCACTCCAATAGTCTCCATTCTGGGGGACCTAAAACCAGGGTGCCCATTCCAGAGCGGGACACCTTTGAGAACCAAACAGGGCACTGTTAAGAATTATGCCAGAACATCGAGCACTGCCAGGGACTGGCAAACTGAGATGAGCGGCCCCCCTACCTAAAGCTCCATTTCATCCAGCGCTTCCCCTGGCCACCTGCCAAGTTGGGAGGGCTACCCTCTTGAAGATTTCCAGTTCCTGCCCACGTCTCCCAATCAGCTGTGCATTCTTCTGAAAAGCCATCGGTGCACGGCCTATGCATCTAACTGTCACAAAACATTGGTGTTACAGGCTTGGAAAGTAGGTCATTTGAATCACATTATTTTAAACATAGTTTTTTAATCTCCCTCTCTATTTTCCCTTTCCTCCTCTCCACAGACGCGTATATTAAAGAAAGCTTTGAAGGGGACACAAGATCTTAAAATATATACCTGAAGAAAACAGTGTGCAATTGTTTCCCTCAGCAATAAAAAAAAAAAAAAAAAAAAAAGCAGACCGAATGTCTTTTGACCTCAGAGCTGTCTTTCTTTTTCAGGGGAATGTGTCTGGCTGTGCCTCACTGCAGCTCACAGCTCTTCGTCAGGGACTTCATCCATCTCCCAAACCCCATCCATTTCCCGGGAACCAACAGCAGCCAGCTCAGGCCACAGGACTGTAAGTGTAATGCACAAATAAACTGTGCAAAAAACCAATTGCCGATACCCAAGCACAGTTGCGATCTTTATTAAACGCCTTCTATTATAAGTAACTATGTTGGGTCGCTTGTTACATAAACGAAAGGATCAACTTTTAATGGTTAGAAATAATTTAATAGAAAGAAGATATTTTTGCCTTAAGAAGACCTACTATAAGTGCTATGTATAAACTTACTTCTCTCTCCTGTTAACCCTAGAGATCCAATAAAGATTAAGTTACTCTCTGGCCATGAATGTGGATACAAAGATGGAAAAAGACAGCATTTCTAGTCTCACATCTTTAGCAGGAGACACAAATGGTCAATTAAAGAAAAGGGTGGTAAAGGAGATTTACAGAAAACCAGTAGATTCATATATAAGGAAGTAGTAGATAAAAATTCCAGAAAGACAAATTTGAGATGAGTCCTCAGGGATAAATATGAGTCTGTATGAGGTGTTGGACAGCTCGGTGGGCTGGCTATTCCTTTTCCTTTTTTGTTTGTTTAATGTTTATTTATTTATTTTGAGAAAGAGAGAGCACATGCACAAGTAGGGGAGGGGCAGAGAGAGAGGGAGAGAAAGAATCCCAAGCAGACTCCGTGCTATCAGCACAGAGCCCAAGGCGGGGCTTGATCCCATGCACTGTGAGATCATGACCTGAGGTGAAACAAAGAATGGGACCAACCGACAGAGCCGCCCAGGTGGCCTGGGCGAGGCATTTCTATAAAGGAACCATACAAACAGACGCATAGAGCATGGAATAACAGAGTATGTTCAGGGATCAGCAGTTACTCTGTGGCTAGAGAGATGGGGTTCTTTGGAGGAAGAAGGATGAGGTACATGCAGGGAACCGGGTCACCTTTCTCTTTGTATCAGGACTTAGCAAATACCAGCAAGCCTAAATAAAAAACCAGCAAAAGTCAGAGACCCCGGTCTAAAAGCAGATGGCAAAATGAGATGGAGCTGACCCAAGTCAGCAGAATTTCCAGGATTCCATGAACACTGACGTCTCATGTAGACAGGACAATCAGGAGGGAAAAACAGAAGCAATGGTTAAGTCTTTTATGTGAGTCTATTGGTTTTTAGAGATAAATTCCTCGGGGTAGGAACTGGGGCTATTGTGATGAGTTCTCATCTTTCTGGACACAGGGTGAAATGGTTCTTCAGTTCCCCACCCCGACACTAGATATGACCACCAACCTTGCACAGGCCAATGAAGTGTGAGAAGCAATGTGTGTCACCTCTGCCCGGCCAGCCAGCATGTGATTCATCACATGTCTTGCTATGCCATAACACAGTGGCACTCCAGATGGTGCTCCCTGAGCGTGGAAATGTGGAGCAGAGGCCTCATTCAACCCATGCAGGCCATGGAGAGTGAAGGAGAAGCAGACCTATATTGTTTTAAGCCTGATACATATATATTCTTTTTTCTTTCATTTCCTCCACAGAATCCCATTATGACTGATGAGACTTGCTTAATTTCCAGCAGGTAATGGGCCCAAAAGTTAGAGAGGAGAGCCTTGTGGATCCTACCAAAGGCAGCTCATTTACTTTCTGTGTAATCAAGACTCGGCCTCGCCCAGAGAGAGGTCTGTCCTTTGCCGTTGGCTTC